GAGTTCGACTGGGTAATTTATTACATCCTAATAATATCTGCTTTTTATATCTGTTTCTATGAACTTTTCTAAATATCATTATCATCAAATTTTAGGATCTTGTAAATCACCTTGATTATCAACGCGGTATAGTAAACGAACATTTAAAGTATGTCACATGAAAACTCTTTATTGTCACTTAATTCGTTATCTCATTTTCTCCTTGTGATTTTCATACATAATATATATATCTTGTTTCTTTTTTAGTGTGTACAACAATTCCACCACAAGACTTAATTACACTCTTTTCCTCCTGGACAAATTTTTCCCAATGCATTATTTACCGACAGAGCAACGTAGAATCTTTTGGGATCATGATGGTGTTCATCCTACGGAGGACGGTTATAGTTTAATAGGTGATATGGTATGCCTGTTTTTCTGCTTAATATCATGTTTGATTCATTTATAGTCAATGCTATCTAGACAGTATATTAACTATAATATTAATATAGATATTCGACATACTTTTCAAAGAAGGTTCATGGGTTAAAGGTGGCAATTTAGAAAGACAATATCATCTTGGACTTTGCTATGAAAAAGGTATAGCCACCAATGAGAATAGAGAAGCGGCATTTAAATGGTATTTAAAATCTGCTGAAGGTGGCAATTTAGAAGGACAGTATCATCTTGGACTTTGCTATGAAAAAGGTATAGGCACTGATGAGAATAAAGAAGAGGCATTTAAATGGTATTTAAAATCAGCTGAAGGCGGCAATTTAGAAGGACAATATCGTCTTGGAATCTTCTATGAAAAAGGTATAGGCACAAATGAGAATAAAAACTAAGCATTTAAATGGTATATAAAATCAGCCGAAGCCGGTAATCTTGAAGGACAATATCATCTCGGATATTGTTATGAAAATGGAATCGGGGTTGAAAAGGATAACCATAAGGCATTTATCTATTACAAGAAATCTGCTAACACTAACCATAAAAAAGGATCGGACAAAATGATAAGTCCTGATGGAATGTTTTATATGGGAGTTTTTTATGAAAAGGGTGTTGAAGTCGAAAAAGATGAATATAAAGCATTCATTCATTATCAAAAATCTTCAGAAATGGGACATGCTAAAGGAGCATATAATATTGGATATTTTTACGAAAA